AATGCCTGTGAGCATGGCTGCTGCACAATCCCTGCGTGTGTCAGTCCCTCACCCACTGCGGATGCTGAAAAAGCTGCAAGTTCTGTTGGTAGGCTCATGATGCTGGATGGGGATACCATTGCTAAGGGGGCAGAGGGCACAGATGGCCCCAGGCCATGAAGGCAGAAGTGGGTCCAGGACGTGCTGCCCATCGTGCTGAGGCTGTGGTGGGCAGCAAGCAGGGACCATATGGAAGGTGCTGCCAAACGAGGCCATTGAAGCAAAGGCTGCAAATGAGTTTAGCAGACAGACATTTTGAGGAGGGGGAGGCAGAGGGAGTGGAGGAGAGCAGAAGAAAGGGAGAGCTCAACACCACAACCAAGAGGGGCCTGCCAGGGCCACACAGGCCTGGTGGACAGTGCTCCATTTTCCCTCACCACACACCTTTTCTTAACTTTAAGATCCCTCAAAGGAAAGAGGGGACCAAGGTGTTGTGGCCCCTTCTTTGTTTTTAATTACTTCCCATTTTAATCTTGATTTGCATGTCGATCTCTCAGAACTGGGCCAGGGACTCTACAAAGCCCTCGTCAGCAACTCCCCCAATAATAAACAGGAAAAGGCTTAAGGGGCAAATCACTTGCATGTTAATGAGACTGTTTGCTGGAGTCAAGAGAGAAAACAGCAAACAAACAAATGGACTGAATTCCAGCGGCAGCTGTTTGCTCCTTAATCTCAGCTTGTCAGAGCTGCCCTTTGATGGGACACAATCTACACAAACGATTGTGCTAAATCTTCTAATCTACGTCCTCATTATTACATCCCTTCTTACGCATGTAAATCAGGGACAAACTCATTTTAATATTTAGATAGATTATGGAAGGGAAGGGGAGGGGATTGGAGGGGAAAGGAGCTGCTGGTGGTGTCTGCTCCTGCTGGTTAGGAGGGGTGTTAATAAGGAGCACAGGGAGAGGAACTGTCTGCATAGAGCCCAGGGCAGCAGCAGGAGGAGGAGCACCTGTTGTCGAGGCAAAATAGGGAGTATAAAAGGGCAAGGACACCTACACTGGGATTCTGGAGAAGACATGGGCCTGGGGCAACACTGGCAAAGTGATGTGACAGGGCACTGAGGAGGACCTCACCCTGGCATTCCCCAAGCCCTCTACCCACGCACTCAACCCCTGCCTTTGTTGAGGTGGGATGATGGAGGAAGGTTTGGTGTTGTACATGGGGGCTTAGTGGTATCACAGTGAGAGGTGACAGGGCCCCACTGTGGGGGCACACCAGGGCTGTGTAATTATCCCTGGGTACCTTGCAGTGCAGCATCTCTTTGCAGCACAGCACTGTTGCCTCCCACCCCTCTTCAACCTGCTCTCACTGTTAAGTGAGCTGAGGATCAGATCAACCACCAGGCTGGAGAAGCAGGCTAACACCTCACTGCAAAATTCAAGGATGCAGCCTCACTGCCTCCACATAAATGTCATTAGCGCTATGGTTATGATATTTAATAATGCTCAAAATAATTGAGCGCAACTAATACAACTGTGGGAAAAAGAGCTCTCCTGCATTTCCCTGCCTCTAGCATCTCCTAATCCAATTGTCAACCTACAACCTGCCCCATAACTTTCTTCTTCAACTGCAACAAACTCATGATACACCAGCCTGATTTCTCTGAGACCCTCATTCTCCTCTGCTCTAGGAGGGGCTGTCATATAATAAAATAGGAAAAAAAAATAAAACAACCTGGTTAGTTCACAAATTTGCCATTGACCTCACACCTGTGAAGGAAGGGTGCAGAAGATAAGCAATAGCCTGGTGTACAAAAGGTGACTGCAGAGGAACAGCAGAGGCGGGCTGGAATATAGTCAAAAAGGTCAAGCATCAAATAAGTTTGTAAGTAGCAGGATAATTAAAGGGAACAAGAAATCATTCTGTAAATTCATTAGTAGCAAGAAGAAGACTAAGCAAAATATTGGATCTCTGTTCAACAGGGAGTGAAAATTATTGACAGAGGATAATATTAGAGAAACTAATAACAGTGATAAAGAAGTATAATCTTGGCATAGAGTAAGAAAAGTGTATGGGAGAGATAACGTTATTGAGTCAGATGCACTCAGATTTATTTGGCATAACGAGCTTCATTGAAGGTGCTTAGAAATTTGGCTACAGCAGTCTCAGAGTCAGTAGTTGCTGTCTTCCAGGACCTGTTGAGATGTAGTGGAGTACAGGAAAATCACAGGCATTGCTCCTACAGAAGTGAAGGAAAGGGTGATGGGTAATTATAGACCAATCAGCTTAATTCCCTTACCCATTACAATTCAGGAATAAATTACATAGTTATCACTAAATATCAAAGGCTAAAATGAGACAATTATTTTCAGTGTGAATTTGTCAAGAATCAGTCCCTTTCAGACAATCTAATTTCTTGCTGTAGCAAGACAACAGGTCTTGTAGATAAAGAAGGAACAGAAGAGGTTGAGTATCTTCCATAAGCTGTTTAGGCTCCATTTCAAAAGATATCCTTATGAATAAACTAGGGAAATATAAAATAGCAGAAACTAACATTAGATAGATGAAAAATTAGTTGAAAAACTGTGCTCAGCGAATAGTCCTCAGTGGTTTACTATCAAAATAAAGACTGTATTGAGAATAGTTTCATGAAGATCTGTTCTGAGTCTGGTTCTGCTCACTGTATGAATTAACAACATGGATAACAAAAGAGGGAGTGGGCACATCAGGAAGACACAGACCTGGAAGGCACTTTAAGTACACTGAAGGACAGACTTAGCATTCAAAATCATCTTGGCAATTTCAAAAAGTAGTTGAAAAAATGTAGATTCAAATCAGCAAGAAACCATGCAAAGAATCTCCATGATGCAGAAAGAATGAAATGCATAAACAGGGGGTTGGAAAACAACTTGTTATGCAGCAATTCTTCCAAAAAAAGCAGCAGGGGTTAGAAGGGATTACAAGCACTGTCAAAAATAGTATAGTGTTGCAAATAAATCAAACATCCTACTGTAAAGAATGGATAAGACTACAACTGTCAAGACCTCTGGAAATTACCTTTCCTTATATTCAGCATTGGTGAGACTTTAGTTGGTGTATTGAGCCCAGTTTTGGAATTACCTTTCTAGGTGGACTCATTGGAGATTGCCTAATGGAGAGCAATAAGAATGATCACAGATATGACATGTGTCTTGCAAAGAAAAACCTGAAAGAAGTGGTGCTGTATAAATTGAAGAGGGAAGACAGAGGGAGGATAAAAGAAAATCCCCAGGCATAAAAGCTGTATCAGAAGAAGGAAAAAAGCTGCCCTCTGTGCCCATGGCACAGGAAATTGTAGCAGGAAAGGTCTGTGTTAAACACTAGGAGCAAAATTAAGAAAAATGAGCAGGGGGAGAAAAACAGACTGCAAGAAAGACACTGGAAGAGATTACTTAGATGCTTGTCCCTCTGTCAGGAATGAAATGGGTATAACTGGTCATGGCACAGGGCAAAAGGAGCAAAGAGACAGCTTCTCTGGGTTCCCACTAGTCCTAGTTTTCTTAGCAATCCATCTCCTGATTTGACATCCACCATAGGCTGGACCTGATGATCTTAGAGGTCTTTTCCAACCTCGTTATTCTGTGATTCTGTGATCTAACCTTCAGCAGTGTTTGGGATGCAATTACATAGCTAGTGATGAGGCATAAGGAAGTGACACTGGTTCACTGAACACATCACTGCTCTCTTCACCCACGCCCCACTGTATTCTTACTAACCGGGAATGGCGGCAGGATGGAGACCTGAAAAATGATGGAAACCCAAGAGCTGACTGAACTCTGGAGATGGACAAAGTACTGGCCCTTACCATCTTCTGGAGTGTGGCTAAAGGAAAAGGGTAAGAGCATGCCACCCAGATCACTGCCATGTGCGCCCATGATTGATTGAGCATTGCTGTGAGAGTTAAAAGAGTGGTGTGAGCATCTGCTTCCCTGTCACCACCAGATAACCAGTGTGACTGCTGGTACCTCTCCTCCCTGCTAGGAGAACTAAATCAAGTGATGCCTTAAAGACTTAAAATAAACTGTCTATATACCTTAATAGAAATACCTATTTCTGCAGCATTTCCTTTGGGAAATCTAGCGAGGTTGTAAATGTATGAGGTTGGCATGAGTATCCACCACAAGTAATGGAATTTCAAGTAAAGGCTGGAAAATTTTCCTTTACCCTTTGTCTCTATTCCCAGCTATTTTTCAGTCTGTATGATTGTTGTTCATCACCTTCTTTCCTTGGCCCCATGCATTCTTAATAATAGAATAGAAATAAAGGACCATTTAGGTTGGAAAAGACCTTTAATATCATTGAGTCCAATCATTTACCCAGCACTGAACCATGCCCCTAAAACCCACATCTACGTGTCTTATAAGTACTTCCAGGGGTATACTCAACCACTTCCCTGGACAGCCTGTTCCAGTGCTTGGTGACCCCTTCTATGAATAAATTTTTTTCTAATATTCAATCTAAACCTTCCCTGGCACACAACTTGGGACCATTTCCCCTTGTCCTATTCCTTGTTACTTGGTATAAGAGGCTGAACATCACCTGGCTACAACCTCCTTTCAGGTAGTTGTAGAGAAATAAATTCCCTCCTGAGCCCCTTTTGCCCCAGGCTAAGCAACCCGAGTTCCCTCAGGTGCTCCTCACAGGACTTGTTGCTCCAGACCCCTCACCAGCTCTGTTGCCCTTCTCTGGACATGCTCCAGCACCTCAATATCCTTCTTGTAGTGAGGGGCCCAGAACTGATCTAAGGTGTGACCTCACCAGTGCCAAGAACAGGGGACAGTCACTGCCCTGGTCCTGCTGGACACACTTTCTGACACAAGCCAGGATGCTTGTATCATACACTTGTATCACACCTGAAGCTCCACTCACCCTTGTCTGTCTGAGGCGCACAAACCTTTTCATTTGAGATGAGGGACAGACCATGAGAGTATAATGGTCCCTTGGCCAGGTGGGCCTTGGACTTATAGCCACTATACCTGGGATTAAAGGTGGACACATTCTCAGGATCCATCCTTGAGTCAATACGAGCAGTTCACTGTTGTGTTCTAGACGTTGTGCTGATTCTCAGGTTGCATTGTCTGCCAAGCCAGGATGTTAGCTCTGCTCTTCAAAGCTCCCTCAGAGTCAAGTATGTCCGAGTCTGCATATTCACCACAGCCCACCTGCTCATTTGGGAAAACACAGTGGCCTAAGTCCATGATGAAGTGAGGGAAACTGGAGATTAAATGGAGATAAATGTCAATGAGGTTTGGCTACTGAATAAGTTTGCAAAAGAAATACACTACCCCTGACTGGGTAAGTTGAGGACATACAGCAGTGCTCCCTTTCTTATGGAGCTTTTCCACCATAACAGAAAAGAGGGATTAGTATTATAAAATATTGTTAAAACAAACAAGCAAATGCAATAGTCCCTTCTTAACAGATTATATAGCCAATTACCAAACTATTTTAATAGTCATAAGGAAAACTGGTTTGAAACCCTAAGACATGTAGCAGCCCCCAATATGCTTAAGGGAAGGCATTATCAGAAAAGACACAGAGCATGCAGAAGATTGCAGGAAAACACATCAAAGAGGTTAAGATGGGTCATGGTGCGTTATGTAGGAGGTTTCCTGCCTTCACTGGGATTTATATGAGCCAAGCAGGCAGGAGGCAAGGAGTCAGCAGCATTGCACAGCTTCTGTGTTTTGCAGTGCTGGCTACTATTAGTAAGAAGGCAAATGTGTGAGAGTGAAAACATTTAATCTATTAAATGTTCCCTGTGACAGGGCTCCCACAGTCCTACCAATTATTCTGGGGAAATGGTTACAGTTTAACATCATCCATTCCCTCTCAATACTCACCTTTATTCTGTGCATAGGTGACCTGTGATCTGCCTTTCACTTAGTGACCAGTACTCCTCTTCCTGGTGCTAGCCCAAATCTTAGTCTTTCTCATCAGATTCTGTACCTTTCTGGTAGCTGACGGATTCCTATTCCTCTCCAGTTATCACTTTAGTCAGACACATCTCTACATGGCCCACAGACCAAACCCACAAGTTCCCAGGCATTTTCTTTCCTCTTTTCTATACTCTGTTCCATTTATCAGTATTTCCTTAAAGAACGAAATTGCAAAACTGCACAGAAAATTTGAGGTTTAATATTGGAAAAATGCAACATTAATAAGCTTCTCCATAATGTCATGTTTCTGAATGTGGTCTCAATCCTTTTTAGAGCTTTGTCATATTGCAAATGTACCTTGCAATCATACCAAACTATTATGCCCAGCTATTTTCACTGTCCTACTGTCTTTCTCTCAGGCACATTTTTTGGCTCTGTGATTTTTCCCTTTAAACAGTTTGCTGAATTGACTCCCATCTATGTTCTCCATGCTGCAGCACTCTGGTTTTCTTCTGCTCGTTGGCATGAATTCTCCCAACTCAGTATCCTGCAAATGACATTAGTATACACCTTGGTCACCTTTCTTCATTGGTTTTGAAGACTTCAAGAAGGGCTGATTTAAACCCTCCTTGCTGAGAATTTTTGTCCCAACCTTATGGTTGTAGTCAGTCATATGGCTGCATTCTCATTATCACTGATAACTCCTATCTGAAAAATTGTTCATTCTGACAGTGCCCGTATCGATGACAATAAGCCAGAATCTTGGGACTGTTCTTTCATATTGCTGCTGCCACAATGCTTTAGTCCAATTCCTCTGTGGTACTTGGTTACTGCCTTTGATCGTGGAACCTGTCTTTGAAGTCTACCTACAAAAGTTTTTCCTGATTCCAAAATTCAGAGTTTGGGACAAGCAATGAAGGATTAGACCGTGTCTATCAAAGAGCAGGGAGGTATTTTTGAGGAGCAAGAATTAGTCTCCAGGGTTCCAGTCAGGCCTGCACAAGGTACTGGGCTTGGCAGCTAGCTGGTGTTCTGAGTTGGAGTAGCTCCTTCACTGCTGTCTCCACCCTATGGTCAGGTCAGTGCTGCTCTGAGCTAGCACCCTGTAACTCATTAAGAGATCTGGGTTAGAAGCAACCTCTCCCTGGGAGGCAAAGGGTACCTCCAGGTGCTGATTTGGCCATTGTTTTCCGCCTTCAGAAAATTGATGTTCAGTACAGGTTGGTCCCGCAGGTAAAGTGAGACAGGTCAGGCTTGATGGCCTCTTGTATGTGTGTTAATATCCAACACACAATACCCAAATATTCCTAGCATCCTCCCTCACACCTGAGTCCTCCCAGGAAGCAAGGGCAGCTTTTGGAGAGTCCTCATTAGGTCACTGGCCTTGGGAGCTGAACTCTCCCCTCCCCCACCTTGGTACACAACTGTTCCTCATTTACATAAATTATCTCTATTCAATTATCTGTCCAGATGTCCGAATTGTGCCACCAATGATCTGTGAACGAATTAAAAATGGAATATAATTTAATAATAACTGATTAGAAGGAGATTAGTTGTTATATAAAAAGCAAAAACCAAGAGATAGCTAGTTGCCCTTAATCCGAGCCAATCCACAGTAATTATAGAAATACAGTCTCGCTTGCTCTCCTTCCCATTTCTCTTCTTCTCCCCCCACATTTTCTCTCTTTCTCCTTTTCCCTTTTCCCTCTGTCCTTTCTTTCCTCTCTCTCTCCCCCCTCTTTCTTTTTTGTTTCTTGGTCTCCATCCCTCCTGTGCCTTCTCTCCACTTTCTCCTCCTGATTATAACTACCTACGTCAACAGAGTCAAAGCCCCTCCGGCTGCTGAAACACCCGTGTAGCTGGGGATGTCCTGGCAGATCCAACCAGCAATAGCTTCCAGCTGCATTAACATCCTCTCTTTCAAGCCATGTTAATGATGGTGTCTTTATACTCTCACTTTTCTGTTGAACGTTTCTGGAATCGCTGCTTTTTCCCTAGGATCATAAGGCAGGCTCTTTAAAGATTTCCTTCTTCTTGTCTTTTGGAGTCATGCAGAGCAATTTCTGTGCTGTCCTGGATGTTTTAAAATCATAAGTATTACAGAGGCTCTGCTCCTCCTCTTGCAGTAGGAAGAAGCCAGCAGCAAGTCCCTGAGCCCCTGTGGTGTCTCTTCAGAAAAAGATCACTCAGACTTTTGCAGGAAACTTGCCATGGATTTTTTTTTTCAGTGATATTTTCTCCTCTCCCAGTCATACAGACAAAATACCCCAGAGCCAGGCTGAGATAGTGCCGCACAGTGTTAGAGGCAGAAAAAATTGGAGATAAAAATACAGCACCTTGTTATCTAAATGCTCCATGGGGATCCCCCACCCTGTCTAACAGAGCTCCCTCCCTCCCTCCCTCTGAGCTGCCACCCAGCTATGTCAGCTGGGATTTCTGATGCAAACCTCCACCACGCACTGTGATTTGCAACAGCATGAAGCTGAATAACTAAAACCTATTTTTAGTTTATTTTTATTCCTCTTGTAAATTAGAACAAGGAAAAAATAATTTGCAGATGTTAATGGACAATTTATTTCAGGTAATTTCATAACATGATTTGGCAACTATCAGCCAGTAACAGCCCAAGTCAACTTTCCCCACTAGTTCAACATGGGGCTTGTCAGACATGGACAGTGATGATTAGGGATATTGCTTACAGACACACTCTTAGAAGAAAAATGAAGCTGAAACAGGTATATTCACTGTCATAGACTCACTCCCTGTACTAAGATACCAGATATTTAAAACCTCCAATGTCTTGGCTTGCTATGTGAATTCAATCTTTCTGAATTAAAAGCTCTGCTCTCCCTTCATACATCACCCTTAAGAGCAGTGCTCACAGCAGCACTTTTTGCCTCTTCTAAGTACTAAGCCATCTGCAGCTGGTTGGCTCTACCAAGGTGGGCAGAAATTAGAGACTGAAGGTCTAAGGCCCAGAGAGAAACCTACATGATGTAATACTACACAGATCATCTTGATGAGCTCGCTGATGACACTGTGATGGTAGTTGGTAGTTATTTTACCCTCTAATGCACCTTCTATTTATTTAAAATAGAAGGGTATTTGTAGGAATAAAGGATGTAGTTAAACCTACACATAGTTAAAGCTTCAACAAGAACCAGCAAATGTTTCCTAAAATAATTTTTGAGAATGTTAGCATCAAAAAACCCAACCATTTCAAAAGCAGTAGACATTAATTACTACAAAATATGTAACATTTTGAATACCCAGTCATTCAACCCCTTTAATTAGCACAAATGAAAATGTGAAGATTTACTTTGTCATTCCATTAACATGCAGTTTGGGTAAATTCTGTTGGTTTTTTCTGTGGAAACACCACCCTGACCTGCAAAAATATTTATGAAGGTTTATTCTGGTAAGCTAGTTTCTGTAAGTGCTGGAAGCACACAGTATTTTTTCTCTTATAGTTGGTAACTCCAGAATGGACTGCCAGTTCCAAAGGAAGATGATCAAGAGCTAGTTAAGGTAACATGTCTCATTTACAGGTCACTGCAACTAAAATTCTTCATTAATTGTAATTTCTGTGTTGTTGCAAATGTTACAATGCTGCCTTGCTTATCACTATATTTGTGCTTTTCACAAAGACCCCTAAGAATCAAGAGAGTACAAGAAAATTTCAACTTTTATTAAAAAGCACTGTTGATGCAAAAGGTTTGACAACACCAATTGGAGCCATTTTACTGCAGAAAAAACTAAAAGAAGTTTAATACATTATTTAAAGCCTTCTACAATTTTGAACCTAATATATTTATTTTTTATGGACTTAATTCAAAAACTTTGGACTCCTGGGCTTTTGCAGTGAGCATTTTTATATTTTGATAATTAAAATGTTATCACTCTGTGGGTAGAAGATGTGTTCAGCAGACTTTGAAGGATATTATTTACATATGATTTGGCTTTGATAATCTTATTTTTTTTGAGTAACATTTTACTCACAAATAGTTCAATTGGCTTCTATGAGTATTATTCAATATGATAATGTGAGGAGAGGTAGAAAATATGTCCCCTAAGTTAATGCAAGACAAGCCATAGTTACTGAAAGTAGATTAATGATTTCCGGTTTGAAAAAAGTGTTTTGTTCTGTTTTATACATCCATCACTGAAACCCACATGAAAACATTTTGCATTTTAGTATTTCTGTTGCAGAGATTCAAAGTTAAAGGGATTACTGAAATGTTTCTTTACTGTTAATTTTCCCAGGTTTAGATTTATGATAGAGGATGTGACAACTGTAATCATGATCAAACCCTTAACACATGTTACCTTTTTATTTCTCCCTCTTTTTGCATTGTTTCTATCAGGGTTTTGGCATTGGTTTTCTGGTGTTCATAATCCTCTAGAGCAGCCTTAGTTTGAAGTTGTTTTTCTTGATGATTGTTATGGGGATCTATCTTCAGGAAAAGGATGTGCATTTACAACAAATCTAAGAACAAATTGCAATGTTTAGTTTCATTTTTTAGTCCAGGTTTTGTTAGAAGTCTGAAAATAAAGGGCAGTGCCATGGCATGAGCAGAGGGACCAGGAGCACTGCAGTCTAGTCCTCCCATAACTTCAGCAGATGACAGTGGATTTTAGCACACCAAAGCCAAGTGACTTCTGCAGACCACCCCATGTGCAGGACCTTCTGCAGGTGATGCTCCTGCATGACACCCATGAGGGGCAGTGGCACCACCCTGGGTGGCTTTGCCCAGCCTCATCCCTGGGCAGCAAGCACTGCTTTCTTTCCAGGGCCTACAGACACCTTACTTCACTTCCAAGGGCTTCCTTGTCCCTTTAACCTATTCCCATCTAACAAACATGCATGGCTCCTCTCCCTGGGCTCCACCTCTGCCACGCAAACCAAACCCCTGGCAGCCGGCCGAGAGCTTTGCCCATGCTGTACCACACAAAAGCAGCAGCAATGATAGCGGCTTCTCTCATCCCAGTCTGTCAAAATGCTCTTTCAAGTCACCTGAGTTCAGCTGCAAAGTGTCTGTGAAGTGAGACTGTGGGATTTTCAGGAATCCACGCTGATCTGAAGGTGGGCTGCTCAGCTCCACACAAGGATGAAGGCAGAGACTTGTTGTTAAACAGAGGCTATTTTGCAACAGAACAGGAGCAGTCTTCCAACAAAATGGGATGCACATTGGACGATACGCAAGGATGAAAGATTAGAAAGAGGCCCAGGAGTGTTCATAAACAATGCACCTATCCCAAGCAACCCCAAGTTGGGATACACATGAGCTATCCCAGCTGCTAATACAGACTCCAAGGAAACAAAAGGCACTCTGGGCTCATTTTGCCTCCTCTGTCCTTTGGTTCACCAAGGGGGAAGCAAAGGGATGGTGGGACTGCAGTGGTTCAAATCAAAGTGGTGTAAGTGACACCTGCTGGCAGATACCTGGGCAGCCAGAGCACTGCCCTCCTCCTTGCTGTGGGAGCAGGGGTGGCACGGGCTCACCGTGGGTCACACTGAGCCTCCACACAGCCCCAGCTTCATCAAGTCATAGACTACCCTGAGCTGCAAGGAACTGACAAGGATCACACAGTCCAACTCCTGGCTTGGGAATGTCATCTTTTTAGATCCAGCTAGGATTGCCCAGATAGGGGAACCTTTTGACTCCATCCCTTCACCCTGATTCTCCATTATTGCATTCAGTGGTGGCTCCATGGATTTGTTTCAGATATTTCTTGGCTCGAACTGCCCTGCAGGTTATTAATTCATTAGGGCACACTGGGAGGCACTAAAACCTGCTGTTGCTGAAGACTGGGTGCCTCCACTGTAGATGCTTGGGGTGATTTCTTTGGCTTAGTTCTTTTCTGGAGCGAGCACCCATTAGTAGCTGGAAGGTGTTGGAAGTGGGGGCTCAAACCACATCATCTTCCAATCCTGTTTCATCTGCAAGGACACCAGGCTGGGCCTCCTGTAACCCCTGTGCAACACAGAGAGCAGCAACTGAGGCAACCCGAACCCTTGCATCCAGAGGGCAACCTGGATCCAAATACCACACTGAATGTGGAGAGACCCATTAGTCCCCAAATCTGACCTGAGCCAAGACTGCAAGGTTTGTCTGTGCTGGAGCATGTATTTTAGAAGGTCTAAATGGGAAAGACCATTCCTCCTGTAAACAGTTTTAATGCTGGAATATTAGACACGGCTGTAAATCAGGTTCTCTCATACTGTGGGAAATTCTAGCATTTTAAAGTATTTCTCTCTATGGAGAATTAATGTAATTTTAAAATGCTGTTTTTGCAACTGATTCTTTTTTAAACTAGTCTTACAGGTCATCAAGAACAGCTGGCAGCAAACAATATATACTGCAGTATACAGACACTGGGATTGACAATGGAGATAGTGATTCCTAGTTTATATTTTAAAATCATTAAGATCATCTGAAATTTCATGGCACATGAAATATTTCACACTTTTGGCAGCATGAAGATTCTCTGCTGTGTTATAACAAAAGGATTTTCCATTAATTTAGTATTTACTCAGTATATGTAGCAAATGTACTTAACAGTTTGAAAATTAAAATGAAAATAGATTTAAACGATTTTTCATGCTGTAATGTGATAGTAGTGGAATAATATAAAATGAAAATGCATAAATCAACATCAGAAAATACTGTTTCAAAATATATTGCTTTAGGGATTACTGTAAGCAACTAGATATTTTTCTGTCAAAAGCCCAAACACTTCTATCCTTTTTCCGTCCCAAAAACTTCCAAAGAAGTTTTTTTTCAACAGGAAGCTGTTTTAAAAATATCATGCCTACTCTACTAATTATCCTCAGTGTGAAAAAATCAGGCCTTTTATTAATATTTATATTTAATTAAATTAATTATGAATTAGTTAGCTTGACCTTCTAGTGCTAAATCCTGTTATGCCTTTGTTAATAAATTAAAGAACCTTCCATCCTCTGAAAGTGTCTCTCCTAACTCATGGGTTGTTCATGAAGTTCTTATCTGAATAATTTCCAGTTCTTTGGTGTTTTTTAATGAAAATGTGGACACCAGAAGTGGACACCATATGAGTCTGTTATGGTCTTGAGATACCAAGGTACCTCATTCTGCTAGGTAACATTTTCTTGCCAATAGATCCAGAAATGGCATAGCTCTGATAGAGCAGATTACATCAAAAATCCATGCTTAGTTTTTGCTATCTGTCAGATCTCCTCCATCCTCCTCAGAGCCACTGCTTCCCATGACAGCAGCCTGTGACCTTCATTTTCTGTTCTGAGATATATAGTCCTGCATTTGGCTATATTAAAATCACATATTGTTCAAATGAGCAGAGCCTGCCAAGCGATCCAGATTGCTCAGTATAACTGACCTACTCCCATCATTATTTATCACTCCACCAATTTTTATGTCAAGTTGAAATCATTACCTGCATTGATTTCGTATTTTCTTCTGAGTCACCACAAAGATATTGCATGGTATTGCCCAATAACTGATCTCTAGACAGCACATCTTCAAAATTTCTCTGGCAGTGGATGATTCCCCAGTGAATTTGTCAGAACCGCTAATTAGTCAGTTTTTAATTCATTTAACACGTTTAATTCCGAATCCACCTCAAGCTAATTTTTTACCAAGAAAGTGACGGGGTGCCAAGTGAAGTGCTGGCCCGCCACCCAAACGCGCTGTGACAGCCGCTGCCTCCCGCGGCTCTATTTTCCCGTCTCCCGAAAAGTCCCACTCGGAATGACGTTCCCCATTGAGCACCCATCCTCGGGGATTGCCGGGGCCGTGGATTCGGGCACTCCACCCCCGCCGTGCGAAGCGGCCCCGGCGCTGGGCTCGGCGCGGCTGCCCCGCGGGCAGGCGCTCACCGGGGGCCCCGGGGAACCGGGGGTCCCCGTGCCCGGGAGCCCTCCGGGCCGGCGCGGAGCTGCCGCCGGTAATTAGCGGCATTAGCGGAAGGAAAAGTTGCCTGCTCTGATCTCCCGTCCCGAGGCCACAAGGTCCCCGGGCGCCTCCATCCCTCCCCAGCCCTTCCCTTCCCTTTCCTCACTGCTCTATTGCAGGCCAGGGCAGCCACCCCCTTCTCCCCTTCCCTCCCCGGCAGCCGGGGGAGGCTCCCGCTTGTATTTACCAGCAAATGATTAATTGTTGCTCGGCGCTGGCTGCTAATGCTGCTAATCCGGGCGGCTGCGTGTTCGGCCGCTCGCCCGGTGCCAGGCCCGGCGCAGGGCGCAGCGCCGCGGGCGGGGCCGGGCTGCGCCCCCGCCTGTAATTACTCCCCAGACAAATCTCTGCAAACACAGGAGCGGGGAAATCTCTGCCCATATTGCAAGGGGCTCCGGCCCCCACCCGCGGAATAATTTTGAGACTCAAATCCCAGCAAAGACCTGCTACAAATTGCTGCAAATTAAGCTGATTTTGCCCCGAATGAGGGATTTTCTGCTGCAGATCAGCCCTTCCCGGAGCTGATGAGGTGGGGATTAGAGAAGGGACTGAAATCAAAGGGACAGGATGATGCGGGAGGGGGGAGCCCGAGAGGGGAGCCCAGCAGTGAAAGTCCCGGAGCATTAACACTTATTGATTTCTACTTTGCTGACATTTTATTCTATTACCAAGTTTACGATTAGCCTAAACTAGGATCCGTGACAGCCAAGGCAGGGTGCGGAGCCCCGAGGGGTGAGGGGCACTCGCTTCTTGGGTTTGCACCCCACCAGCCCCGCAAGCATCTGCTCTAAGCAAATGCCACCTTCCGGGGGCTGCCTGGCTCCTGGCACTGGAAGGGTTGTGATGCGAACTGAGTTTACAACCCTGGGCAGGCTGCACTCTCTTTTTGCTCACCAAAAGGATGCTGGTGATTTTGAGGAGAGGGAGCTTTCTCCAAATTCTATATTCTTATAAACCCCCAAATCTTTCCTATTGCGTGTGATGGAAAGAGTCCGATCACCCCCTTCTCAACATCTGCCTGTCCGTCTCTCCATCCCTTCTTCTCTCCCTCTCCCTTCCCTCTGGATCCTCATTTCCATCTGTTTAAACAGCAACAGCAATGTCTGTTGCAGGTATTTCAAATTGCACCATTAAAGATTTTATGTTGGGGATGTTAAAATTAAAAAGATATATGTGCAAATAGTCACTATGAATTTAATCAACTTGATTTAATACTAATAGGAAACAGCAAATGGAATTTATGACTCAAAAAGAAGTGAATTTTTAAAATAAATACAAGTACTTTGTGAAAAACAGAAAAAAAATCCCAATCTGAAGAGTTTATTAGAGTCTAATCCCCCAACAACAACTGAACCCGGGGCTGCCCACCCAATAATCCTGGCTGCCATTAAAATATTAAAGATAAATCTAATCGTCTCTTTATCCAAAATAAGTGACTTTTATGTGGAGAGAAAATGTCTAACCCTTTGGGAAGAGAATTACTCCTAATGCATCAAATGGAATTCAGTCAGGATGGCAAAACTAGGTTTAAAAGCAAATGAGATGGTAATAGAGATAAAGACCAGTATAACAAATTAAAAATACTCATTTACACGAATTAAAATCACTCCTGAAAGGGTTCTGAGTAAGGAGGCCACTGGATGGTCTTGGCCCTTCTTGGTATGCATGGGTTTATGCAGCCTCTCAGGACATGGGGGGAGGCAGGATGCTGTGCTGAGTGTCTGTGGGGAAGATCTGTTCCTGACCCCATCTCTTGAGGCAGTTTTTACCCATATCCTACAGTGGTCCCAAACCCATGTGTAGTGGAATTTACACCACTCCACAGCCTCCAAACAACTGCTTCTGGTCCCAGCATTCCTTCCCCAGCTGATGTCACAGGCCCAGGATGTCTCTGTGGATTCCCCCATGCTCCAGAGTTTGTGACATGTTGTGGCAGCTTCCAGTGGCACCAAGTTCATGCTGGGCAGGGCATGGTGCCCAGCCTGGGACCTGGCTGATGTCTGTCCTTGAGAACACTGTTGAGGATGAGTGTCCCCAGGAAGCTCACCCGGCTGGGGCAAAATCACCTCTGGGACCTGGAAAATGAGTTTGCTATGTGCCAGGAGGAGCTGCACCTGTGTGTGTTTGAGCACAGAACCCTGTGCAGAGGTTCTGGGAGCTGTTCTAGGAGCTGTGAATTTCCTTTCCTGGTAGGTGAGAAGCTCAAAAGGAGTGGAGCAAGGCAGAGAGGAAACCTGTGGGCACTGCTGCCTTCCCAAGCCCTGTGCCTGGACAGATGCAGCATCCCAGCCATTGTGCCCCTTCCCTTCCCACAGCTTCACACACTCCACTGGGAAACAGCTCCCAGGCACAACCTGTGCTCTGGACCTGCAGGAGGGACACACCCCCATGGCAAGGGCATGGATATGGGCAAGGGCAGCACCACAGCTGCTGATGGGTGCTGGGGTGGGGGCTGCTGCAGCATCCTGCCTCCACACACATCCTCATGGGCACTGATGCGCCGAAGAAGGTCCTAGCTGGTTCCACCACCTTGTTAAATCACTTTGAGATTGTCTGTGTGCCCCACTTTTGGAAACCCAAACCAATCTGTGGGTGCACTGGAGGAAGAGTCCCACTGGACTGCTTCTTCCAAAATACAGCCCAAGGCACACTCACAGGCAAGGTGCCATTTGCAATGGGTTATAGGCAAGCACATTTGCCAAAACCGGGAAGATGCCGAGTTGCCTCACAACCAGCTTCATGAAAGACTTCTGGTAAATTGATAGAACACACCTTCACCTGCTCAGACTTCTCCTTCCATGCATGAAAAGCAAATGTGGTACCAAAGAGAGAAAGTGAAACAGTGAAATTGGAAATGTCCTCACTATCAGTATGTGGCATGAGTAAGAGCAGTTCTCTACAGCATCAGAGCTTCAGGCTGCTTAGATTCCCTGGCATAATTTTAGGTTCACTTTGAAGTTTTAAGATTATTGATGGAATTTTATAGGCAAAATTTTTTTTTTTCTTTTGTTAATGATTAAGATCGGGAAAGCAAGATTGCTTCCTTTGGGGAAAAAACTGCTTGTCTTCCCAAATGCAGAAACCAATCATGTGAGACATGTGAGACCTGTCCTTAAACCTACCCAACGAAGTTTCTCCAAGATAGGTATCCTATCCTAATGCCTGCCCTAAAGAGGATCAGCATCCTGTCCTGACACCTTCCTAACTGTTAAGGAGTTTCTCCTGCTGCCTTGCTACAGACAAAGCCATCTGCCATAATGCTTCTGGTCTATCTGCAATATTCAGTAGATATAGTGGACAATTTTGGAAGACCACCACTGCTATATTTTTTTTAATGTATTTGAAGGCTTGTTGGCATCTCACTTCAGCCATCTTCTCTGTAGACCAAAGAAATTTGTGCTTTCTAGATATCTCATTATGTTTCTGCTGTGCCTCACCAATCAGCCCAGATCCATCCAGAAGCTCAGGATGCAGAACAGGCAGAGCAGAGTGCAACCCAGGCCCTGGACTGGCTGGAAAGCTGCTTTAGATACTTTGTCTTTTATATTGTACCCAGGACAGGTACTTACCTATGGACAGAAGGTGAATCTAGTCATATTTTCCTATATATTTTTTTTCCTTAAAGATTCCATACCTTGTAATAAAACTAGATCTCCCTGGGATTTCCCCCCTAACACGAACACATACTTTTCTTTAAACAAGGCAGAGTATTTTATTATCTGATGATAGAAAGGACATCAAACTGATCCTCAAATTTCCTCTTTCTCACAAACTGAGAAAAGGGAACACGTAATATAGCTAAATGAAAATGCATCAGACAAACCCCTTTGATACAATGTATAATTTACCTAAAGTACTCATATACCAAAGCATTATTTAGAAGTGATCAGGACATCCTCAGCCAAAAACTATATTGTAATTAATTATTATAATTAAATGGTAATGAGGTGGCCAACATTCATGGTGAATCAAGCCAATCTTTATATACATTTATGGCAGCTTCATTTCGGATGTCCAGGTCAAACATCATTACTTTCCTACGCCACACTTTAGCTGATTTTTAAATTATGTCTGCTGAACAGACTTTGGTCCACATGGTAAAGCCCATGTCTTGCTGCTCTGTTATTTTCTAATAAATCAACAGTGGAACTCTTGAAACTGGTTGAACAAAAATAAGTTCAGTTGCTCCATGAGAATTAAAAGCATGTCTACATATGAATCTAGCTTGCTATAAAATAATTTAGTGTAAGCTTCTTTAAAAGGAGATATAAACATTTATCCATTGAATAATATTCTCTTCTGTTTCAGGAGTTGGAAAAAAGTGGCAATAAACCTCTGAAGTTGCCCCGTCCAGCACTGCCCAGAGAGAGGAAGTGAACCAGATATGATGGGACTATGACATGCAGCACCCACTCCAGACTGGCCCAAAGGGGTACATTTTTCTCCTCTGATTTCGAGGCAATTGGAAGTTACTGATATATTCAGCTAAAAGAAAGCTTTGGTATCCAGCCCTTAACTGCTCAGCAGCCCCATGCAGAAAAGGTTTTGTTTAACCCCTTGCCCTAAGCAGAGCAGAGCCACCCAATACCTCAAGCAGAAAGGTGCCAGAGGAGAGGAATCTTGAGTCACTCTGACCTTGCCACAGGAAACTGCAGGACAGAGGAACTGCCTGTGGTGCAGCATGGCTGAGTCCTAGCAGCTGGATGTTCCATGCAGCATGAATGGAAGTGCTCAGCCAGAGAGAAAATACGAGAAATATGGATGCATCTGTGTCAGGAGAGAAAGAGAGGTATAATGGGGAAAAAAGGGAAATGTCAGAAGTGCTAAGCAAAGTGAAATCCTAGCTCTGTTAAATGTCGGTGACCAAGGTCCCGCTGTCTTCAGTAGGATGAAGATTTTACCCAGGGGTTAAGAGGTGAGCTCAAAACTACCAGGATGATTCAGAGCAGGCAGGAACAGAGGTCTGCTCAGGGCTGCAGTAACTCAGCCAGCAGCTGCCAACTGGGAGCATTTGGCCATGGGCATGACAGGTGCCATAATCTCCTGTCATCATGTACTTTGTATCTTTGATTATTTAGAGATCAATAGACTGACATGTAAAGAAAAATATATATTCAATAGGACACTTGACATCAGAAGCTTCTTATATGGGAAGTCTTTTATATAGAGAGAACATCCCTATCAGACACTATGAGCTCCATGGAGTTCACGATTTTAGGGCCTGAAAGGAACATTACAACCTTCTAACCTGAACTTCAAGATAAAATAGGCTACAAAACCAAATAATTTCTGCTTCAGGCCAATATCTTCTGGATGAGTTATAGATCATCACTTGCAAATTTCCAGCCTTGGTTTGAAGACTTTATATGATAGAGAGAATTTAAAACATCTGTAGGCAGATAGCTCTGGTCAGTCTTCATGTCTCAGCAGTTTTTATTAATACAGCAAGTGTCTCTTCTTGTAATATTAGCATTATCATGTCTTATATCCATCTACAGTGCAACATATGGTGGAAGGATAATGTAAAAATGTCCAGTGACTGTGACTTCAGTGGATCACCATTGCTCCCCAAGGTTTAGGAACACAGCTAAAATAAAAACATACTAAGAGAGACTTTTATTCAAAGTATTTTTACGTACGTAAATTTTGAAAGGAGAAAGGCAGGAGCTGCATGCACTTACACTGCAGAGAAGACAAGATAACCGATGCAGTGCTGGAATAACCCAAAAGTCATTGTAGAGGAGATGGAAGAGCATAGGGAGATCAGGTCTGACCTATCTGTTTGAATCATCAAAGAATCACAGAACATTTTGCATTGAAAGCAACCTAAAAGATCATTTAGTTCTAACCCTTTGCCTAACATGAGCAGGGATGTCACCCACTAGATCAGGTTGCTTCAAGCTCCATTCAGCCTGGCCTTAGACACTTCCAAGGATGGGGCATCCACAACTTTTATAAGCAATCTATTCAGTGCCTTGCTGCTCCCTCAGTAAAGAATTTCTTCCTAGCATCTAATCTAAATCTCTGCTCATTCCATTTAAAAACATTCCCCTTGCCCCCTCCCAGTCTACTCATGTAAAAAGTTGCCCTCCATCTTTTTTTAAGGCACTTTTATCCACTGAGGTCTGTCTAGACAAGGACAGCTTTGAACCCAGTGCTGACAGAGACAACAAAGAGCATGCTTCTGTAATAGAAATGGAGGAGAAGTAACACTTCTTTAGAGACTAAGGGATTAACAACAAACATTGCTTCTACTGAGATTCAAGTTGTCCAGGACACAGGAGAAGGCTGAAGTAAGGCTAAGACTGAAGAAAGAACCAAGTCAGCCCAATACATGTGCCTGGATGAAGGATAGATTTGCACACAAATGGGAGAAGTGGAAAAGTTCAGGCCCAAGGATAAGACAGATGAACTATGGAAAAGGAAAAAGGATGAGCTGGATCAGAAAAATGTGAGAGAATTCAAGGTTTCTAATGTTTCTCTCCCCAGGAAACCATCTGAATCATGGAGCTGAGGAAAGCTTACATAAAGCCAGATTTTTTTCCGGTGAAGACAGGGTGAAAATATTGCCAGAAATTAGTTAGAGAGGTATTGAGTAATACAAGTAACTACTGATGTATAAGAAACTTCAGTGTATATCTGCAAAGCCCCTATGTCTATACCTTTATATCCTGACAATGGTCAGAGCATTAACTTTGTATGAACCCCTCAAGGAGGCTAAAAATGATAAAAGTGCCACATGCTGTAGGGTGGACCTCAGGCTGATAAACTGATGGTCTTGTCAAATTGGGCTGTGTGTCTAGCTTGAGCTAGAACACCCAAATAACCCACACCCCTCTACCTGTCCTTGGGCAGCGATGCAGAGCTGGGTCTGAAGGAAAAAGAGAGAAATTGTGGTGCACAAAGAGCTGTCAGAACATGGGCTCAAGTTGAGAAGCAGCCCCTGTGCATATCCACACCCTCTGTGAGCTCTGGGCAGTTCTTTAGGCAGAAAACAGGGTGCACCTCCTCACACTGATGCTAGTACCACACAGAGGTACTTACAACATTTGAGAGGGCTTTAGACCTGGTGGATTTATTTCTTCAGCAGACTGCAGCTTGGAGCCACATAACCCACACAATGTCGTTCTGCCTCAGAGATGTTTGGGGAGGAACTGTTTCTGGAGAAATTTGAAACATATTACAGAGAACTTGAGAATTAGAGAAATCATAATAAAGTTCTGAATAATTTATTGGCAAGATGATAGCTTGAATTTTTACCCTAACAGACCCAGTCATGCTGAGGCACAGCTTGTGTAACTCCAGGTTGAATGCTGGGGAAGGAAATTGCATATCATACCTGGGGAGCCCCAGTGGGGTGGGACAGAGGTCAAACCAAGAATTGGCTAATGCAGACAAGACAAAACCAAAGTTTGAGGTGGTAGGATTGTCTAATATATCCCTGACAAGGTGTACAGTGCAACCTCCCCACCCTCTAGGAGTGAAGCTGGCTGTACAAGGTCAGCTCACGGATACAGGCAGCTGCTGGGAAAACCCTGGAGGGACCCTCAGCAGGGGCTCCTCCCTCCTCTGCTTGGCAGCTGCTTCTAAACTGAGGGTCTCATTCCTGGCTCCTGTCTGAGCTACATGCCTGTAGCAGGCCATGTACCTACTGATGTGGACCCCCACTCAGGGACTTGACTTCACAGCCAGAAATTGAAGCTGCTTCATCCCCATCAACTTGTCTGGTGGTGTGGACTGAAGGCTGAGCCTGGCTACAGCCCACAACTGCTCTGCTTGCCTTGCTCAGGTACAGTGAGATGGGGCCAGGGCTGGGGGAAACCTGCTCTGATGACTCTTAACACATTTGGTTCCCAGCTTGCTGTCTTTTAGAAAGTAGCTGGTCACCACAGTGCCCTGGTAGTCTTCATTCAGTTCTTCTGAACCATTTACATCTTTGTGGAGATATGAGTTTCTTTAAAATAATGGCTGGAAATACAACTACCTTGCTGCTCTAACATGAGACAGTCTCAGCAATCCTGACATCACAGTGGAGGTGCCTTGGTTTTCTCAGGGAAGGCATGATTTTCAGCATCTGCAGCAGCCCCAGTTCTTTGGCTGGCCAAGATTCTAAACCAGGATTTCCAAAGTATGCAGGGCATGGCCTTTGGGCAGTCCAAAATACTTATGGCCATCCTGGACAGATACCACAAATTTCAGAGACAGTCCCTGCCCTTGTTTCACCATGTACCTGGCATTGGGCAGCCTTCTCCAGAGACCAGGACAGCTTTCCCCTGGGAACAGGTTCCCCTTCATGGGGAGACTGGAGCCATTTAGCCTGATGAACCGGCCCAGAGGCCTCCAAAATGGAGAAGAGGAGAAATAAGGAACTGCTTCTCCTCGAAGCTGAGGCAGAAGATGGACTTTTCATGCTGATGTGGAGCAACAGTTCCAGCCCCAGTTTGATATTCCACTGATGAACTGGCCCCATGAGCAGGCTGCAGGAGCCGTACTGAGAGCTGTTGATCGCTATCGCAGGACATGCGCTGGTGGGGCTCTTGCCTCGGATTGGGCAAAACTGGGGAAGTCTTATGGTTTCTCTTCGTTTAATGTCTTTGGCTGGGGTAATGCTGGCAGGGATGAGGTGTGTGGTGTCTTGCCCACAGATGATAAAAGGCAAGTTAACAAGAAACTGTGTGGTTCAGAAACCCTGCTCATGGGCATTGGGTGTCTGGAGAGTCCAAGCAACTGTTCCACTTCTCTGATGGCATGAAGCCGAATGCTTCTCCAATGTGCAAAGCTTCCGGCTCAATATTATTAAGGAACACTGCTCAGTTTTAATTCTTAGTTTACCCCTGTGGGCCCTAATTTCTCTTCTAACCTCTTATTTCTCTCAGAATATGGGATGAGCAAGAAACCCAGAGAACCCGTGGTTTCCCTACACGTAAGCCTTGCGCATCTCTCCTCCGGGGCCGGTGCCCCACGCCGTGCGTATTTATGAAAGCAGGGATGCCTCCATCCCTCCCTCCCTCCCTTCCTAACCCCACCTCCCCAGCACGGCTGGAGGCGAAGCGGGGCCGGGGCCTGCGGGGCCGGGCCGGCCCTTCTTTGCGCAGGGGCGGGCGGCAGCCCCAGTCCGCTGGCGGGCACCGGCCCCAGCCCGCCGAGGAGCGGCCCCGCCGCCGCCGGTGCCGGCTTTTTGGCATCCCTAATCGCGGCTGGCCCCTGTGATTGGCTGCGCGGCTCTGACCCCGCTCGGGCTCCCGGCTGGGCGGATAAAAGGGGCCTGAGCCGGGGGCTCCCAGGCATTCCCGGAGCGGGCACCAGGGACCGCTGGCCGCAGCATGACGGGCAAAGCGGGCGCGGCGCTGGCCCCCAGCCTGCCCGGCAAGCCCAAGCCCGACGGCGCGGCCGCCGCCCCCGCCGCCCCGCCACTGCCTCCGCCGCCCCCCGCCGCTGGGGTCAAGTCCAACTCTGGGCCCACCCCTCCCCGCTGCACCGGCTTCGGCATCCAGGAGATCCTGGGCTTGAACAAGGAGCCGCCGTCTCACCCTCGGGCCGCCCTGGACTCTCTGCCCGCCGGGCACCTGCTGGCGGCCCGCTCCGTACTCAGTCCCGCCGGGGTGGGCGGCGTGGGCATGGGGCTGCTGGGTGCCAGCGGCATTCCCGGCTTTTACACCCAGCCCACCTTCCTAGAGGTGCTCTCCGACCCTCAGAGCGTCCACCTGCAGCCCCTGGCCCGGGCCCCCGGGCAGCTGGACAGCAGCCAGACGGCCAGCTCAGGTAGGCACGTCCCCGGCCCCCGGGGACCCGCTGCGCCCCACCAGCACCGTCGTCCGCACCCAGCAGCCGCCCGCACCCGGTGTCCCGGCGGGAGGTCACTTGCTCGGCGGTGGAAGGGAGATTTCGTTTCGATCTTGAAAATGAGGAGAAAGGCGGGCAGGATCGTATTTTTCCCCGTCGGGGGCTGCGGCCGCGGTTTGATGGCGTGGCCCCGAGCGCCCGGCCTAGGGATGTGCAGAGCCCCGTCGGAGCGGCCCCCGCGACCCCGCGTTGCCGGATAATTAGGGGTCTTTCAGCATCTTTTTCCTAGACGGCAGCACCCTCCCACAACTCTGCCTACAGGCCCCGTTTCGCGGCCGCTTCGGGTGCCCCCAGAACGGCAGGCAGCAGCTCCGGACCCTGGCTCCGGGGCAATTCCCGGCCTCCCTCCGGCAGCGGCGCCCGTCCCGGGCCATGCCCGCCGCCCCTGCCCGCAGCACGGCCTGCCGAGCAGCACGGGGCCGGGCCCGGGCAGGCGGCGCGGCGCCGCAGGCAGGAGTGGGACTGGAGCGCGCATCGAAATGGGGGACCCCGATCCGTCCCCCAGTTGTTCCTTCGGGGCAAAGGCGGCGGCGTCCTGCCCTTAACACCCCTGGGCCGTGGCATCCCTGGGGAGCCGGGGGCGGCGGATAGGCAGCAGCTCCTCCCGGGGCTTGGTTTTGCTGGTAGCTGCATAAACCTCAATTTCTCCCTTCCCGCTCCGGGGTTTCTGGGGCGCAGTCCGGGATCCCCGGGCCGGGGCAGGCGGTCGCGGTTGCCCGGCCCCGGAGCGGGGGCTGCGGCTTTCCCGTTTTCCTACGGTTTGGTTGAGCTCGCCGGGCTCTGCGTTTTAGCAGCGAGGCAACAGCAGCCTCAGCAAACGACTCTAGTGGGGAGAGGCGAGAGCTAGAGCCCGGTCCCGGCCCGGAGCCTTCCCTGGCTGGGGCGTATCGCCCGAGCTGCCCGCAGCGGATCGGGAGCGGCGCTGGTGCCGCGCTGGAGGGAGCAGCGGGCGTCGGGCCCCGTCCGCGGCGCGATCGCAACGAAATCTTCGGCCAGAGCCGGCGGAGGGAGCGGAGCCGGTGGGCCTGGCCCTACCCGGAGGACTCTGGTGAGGAGCGAACCCCAGCCCATAGCCGCTGCCTGTCTTTCCGCAGATTCCGAGGATGTCTCCTCCAGCGACCGAAAAATGTCCAAATCCTCCCTAAATCAGAGCAAGAAACGAAAGAAGAGGCGGCACAGGTAAGACAGCGGCGGGCACCCCGCCCGCTCCCGTCGCCTCAGTCCCCAGGGAGCCGGCCACCGGCGAGCCCTGCCGCCCCGGCGGGGACGGCCCGCTCCGGCTTGGAGCGAAATATTCTTCCCGGCATCGCCGCCGGAGAGCCCCGGCGCCCCTGCGGCTTCTCCAGTGGGTCCTTCCCTTTATTCTTTCTCCCCGTCCAAAATAAATCGAATATGGGGATGTGCCTATAGGGAGTGGGGGATTTGACCACAGGTGTCATTTAATTTAATTTTTTCTGGCTGCGGATCGAGGTATCCCGAGTCGCAACCCTGTGCAGCCCATGAGCTGCGGTGGAATGCGGATCATCAGGGTTTGGAAGGGAAAATCATCAACTTGTTAAAAATAATAAAAGCCGTTTTCAGCTCCACATACAGCAATCTTAATACTGGCTGTCAGGAAGACAGAATTCCTATCAATAATTTAAATATTTTATTACGTAAAAATAAATATTTTGCCAATAGATTAAATAGTTGGGAATCAAAGACAGCCTGCAAAGGAGATGAAGAAGGCTGGGAAACTGTTTAAGGAAACGACGATCCACTTTGGGATTTGGTTTCCTATTCGCACGGTCAGGGTAATAGACTTTGCCTGACTTCTCCCACAGTTAAAATGGAGTTGGTTTGTTTGCGCTTTATAAACAGAAACGAAAAATCCCGTGCTGGGTTCTGGCATTGCTGTGGCCAGAGCGCCAAGACAAAGGAAGGCCAAACACCATCCACTGAGGGTGATTTAGGAATAATTAAATCAATCCTGCCACGATGCAGGAAAGGTGGATTAAAAGACGCTCCAGTGAAAGCTTAGCAGGATGAGGGGTGGAAGGAGACCGACTATCCCAGGAGACGTCCTGCTATGTGTGCAGGAAGCTCGGTCTGGAGGGCTGCTTTCCAAAGCCGGGCCCCCTCCCCAGGCAAATATTCCCACGTTGGGTGTTCTGGAGTAAGTACGAGTTCATTTTCTTTGCACCCCAGACGGGGCTGGGTGGTAACGCAGCTGGGACTGGTATACAGGTCCCGATCTGGATGAGAGATAGGAAACGAAATTCAGATTCGTTTTGTTTTCAGCTCTAGACAGAAACAGACCTGCAACATTTGTCTGTAGTTGAATATTCTGCTGTAAACAGTTAAGACCTCTAATTGTACCAAGGAAGGGCTGGAAGATGACTGACCAATAGCCTGTAAATAGCTGCAGGATAGAAACACCAAAGGGGCAGCGGATTGTGAATTGCAAAAGGGACGGGGACTACCCGGGCATGAGCTAAAAAGGGAAAACTTCAGCTGAATGTCAGCAAAACCCTCCCGCCCGAGAGCCTGGACAGGCTTCCGCGCTCTTGTGGGAGGAAGATGGAGGGGAATGCTTGAAATCTAGACTGGATGAAAATTGGAATATTTTTTTCTGTGGTTGTAGAGAGAGAAAATACATGATTCAGTGTGTCTCTGCTGTCCCTAGAGTTCACAGATTTGTCAGAGTTGAAGAGAAACTGTTTGAAAAGAGAATGGATTTAAGAGTGAATTTAAAGAAGGGTCTGGTTGCAGGCAGGTCCCTTCCATTTGCATCCTGCTTTTGTTAGTATTATTATCGATCTGATGGAATCCTTTTCATTTTGTACAGAGGACGGTATTTCTGGTATTTTACATTTATGCTCTCTGGAATTGAAAGGCTTTTCTGAAATTTGGGTGTATTTTAGAAAAAGACTCTATTTCCTCTTTGCTTCTGGAAGATACATGGTTTTTAGATTGATGGTAAATTAATGCATTTACTTTGCACAAGGGCTCCAATTCGTTGTAGGATTGAGGATTGTTTTATTTTGGTTTGTTTTTTTGGTTGAGTTTTTTGTTTGATTTGGCTTTTTTGTTTGATTGTTTTTGTTTAGTTTTGGTTTGTTTTTTGTTTGGTTGGGGTTTTTTGTTTGTTTGTTGTTTAGGTTTTGGGTTTTTAAACATTTTTTTCCATTGCAGTATTTTTAACTGTTATCAAAAATTGTGCTTTCTGTACTGGAGGAGTTAAAGGGTGGGAGTTTTAACCCTCAGGGAGTGGAAGTAGTCTGAGACTTCTCATCCATCTGCCATGGAAGGGCTTTCATCTGTCTCGGCTTTCCAGCTGCTGATTTTTCAATTCGGTTGTCCCAAACTGAGAAGTGGCTGTGCGGAGGCAGGATGGGCTGCTGCCTGCCCAGAGCAGCCCAGGAGGATTTCTAAAGGATAATGGGGTAATGCAAACTGGCAAGGGAGCAGCTAATAAGATATTGGAGTGGAAGCAACCAGGGTAAAGGCAGAGGAAGGGAGCTGGTCCTGACTCTCATGGGGAAGAGCTGGTGAAAAGTACTGGGTTAGGGTGGAGAAAACATTTGGAGAATTTGTCCAAAGACTGAGACTCAAGGTGAAGGATTATTTGCTCATGGAGATTGAAGAGGCCAGCAGCTGGGAAAGGGCTCAGCACCTCTCCAGACTGGGTGCTGAGGAGATGCTGCTTCATCTCAGTGTGATGAGCCTCACAAGAGGCGTCAGAGTCTAAGATCAGCTGCCATCACTGTGGGTGCTTGCTGCTGGGGAGGCACTGTCTCCAGAGGCAAGTCCCTGAAAGGGAAGGTGATTTGTAACTGTTGAAAATGCTGTCTTCTGACATTTTCTGGTTCTCCTTTCACCTTGGCACTTGACCTTTTGTGCACAGAAACACAGGAGGTGGGGAAAAGCTATGTATTAGCTGGTTACCCAGGTTTCACTGTTTTCAGTGTCCATTTCTCTGACTCTTCATCATCTTTGCTGCTGCTTGTGTTTTGATCAAAGAGTTTTACTCCCCTCAGGACAATCTTCACATCCTATCAACTGGAGGAGCTGGAAAAGGCCTTCAATGAGGCCCACTATCCTGACGTATATGCTAGAGAGATGTTGGCCATGAAAACAGAGTTGCCAGAAGACAGGATACAGGTAATCATACTTCTTGGACCCCCTTATTGTGCTGCTCTCAGCCATGTTCATCCCTCCATGAAGAAAAGGTAGAGGCATGGGAAGGCTGACATTTTTCTGAATGAATTTCTCCAGGCTGTCCACTCTCCTGCTTTTGATGGCAGACAGATCAGATATTCTTGGCAGATTTGTATTTGGTGTTTGTATGTCGACATGTGCTGTGCGTGGTGTGTTGTACCAGCAATTTGGGGTGTGTGGAACAGAGGGGATCTTAAATCATAGAAGGACAACAGGCATGCAAAATAACATGACAGTGTTTCAAGGTCTTGGTAAAAGCAAGAAGAGAACCTCCCAGAGACCACGTCTGGGTAGGCATTGCTGATGGGAAAGAGCTCATCTCTGCTCCTTTGGCCCCAAAGGATGCACAGGGATGGTGTGGGCAGCTAGCAGAGCTGTGGGTAGGATGCAGTGTGGGAATGATGGGTGAGTCCCAGTGAGATGTTTGCACCACATCTGGACTTTGACTATATTTGCCTCCTCAAATGACGTTTCTCTGAAAGTTTCTGGGGATAATTTTTTTGAGGTTTTATTTGTTGTTGTTGTTTGGGTTTTTTTAATATGTTAAATTTTATTAAGTTAACAGCTTTTAACATTAAGGTTTTAGCTGCATGTGAGTCCTGTCATGCTACTGTGAGGAGGTAGAACAACAGGGTGTGGAATATCACTGCTGTTTGGTGAATCCTCCAGCAGGAAGGAGCAGCCTGAGCTGCGGGGCTGGGCCAGGACCAGCCTTTGGCATGCATAGTAGCCAGAAAGCTGGAGAAGACTTAACAACTGTTGATTACAGTGCGGGAGGCACACTGGACAGAGTTAACACGATGTTCAAAAGGGTGGGCTCCAGCAGCTTCTTTTGCCCCACTTTACCCCATCAGGTTTCTACACAAGGCACAGGATTGTAATGGCCAAGACTTGAGCAGGAGAAGTTCTGGTCTGGCTGGAAGTTAACCTGTCCTGATTCTCCACACAGTGGCAGTGTCTGGCCTCTGTGACTGGGGCATTGTAGTTTCTACAAGAGACATTGTCCTGTGTGCCATGTGGTCCTGGGAGGGTCCTGGTTTCCCTGGTTCCTCCTTGTGTTCATCCCTCATACATGCCCAGCACCCACCAAGCTTGAGCTTCTGCTCTTTCTTTGCTGAAGAGATGGCCCAGGAGGCTGCTCCCTTGTGGGGTTGGAATGTAGCTCGTAGGGCACTTAGCATGAGAACACTGGTGCGGGAAGCTGCTAAGGTATGACCCAGTGCAGGGACAGGAAGATCCTCCAAAGCAACAGTGTAGCCCTTTTTCCCCTCTGCCCTGAGCTCCCCTCACCACCCTTATTCTTGTTCTCAATCAAAAATGACATTTTTATAAAAGCAACTTGTGCTTCTTATCCCATTGACCTGGTAGGACTCCTGCTGATCTAACGGCTTGTAGATAACCTGTGTGCTAACAGGATTTCCACCAGTCTTCAGAAATAATGACACACCATCTCAAATCCTACCTGATGCATTAGGATTTTGCTCTGAGAAACAAGCCCTGATGCTTTGCCTTCAGAAGAGTGAAGTGGATGGATGGTCACTTCTCCACTTGTGATCCTGTAGGACATCAGGGCAAGAGAGGAGAGACTGTTGGGAGTTTATTATTGTTCACAGCCACAATTTGGTGCTGGGCTGGAAAGAAGATAGTTTGATTTCCCATAAAAGACCTTTTCAAGGAAGAGGTTCATCTAGTGGCACAGTGTATGTTGAATTCCAGAGGCCCCATTTCTCTGGCCAGAGCTGAGATCGTTCACTCTGTGTGGAGTGAGATGTTGTGGCAGACAGTGTAGAGCTGGCACAGCTTGTCAGCACCTGGAACACCCTTCTAGTGCTGAGTGTTTTAACTGATTTGGAAATGAAATAGCAGGTAAAGTATCTTAGCTGTCACTGACTGGTCTGCCCAGTCATTCTGCAACTGGCTAATGAACAACTGCCTACTCTTCCTGTATTGCACCTTTTAAACCTAGGAGGGCTCCTTACTGTGACCCCTCTGCTCTTGAGATCAGGTTAGACTTGGACAGCAAAAACACCCCAATGTATGGCTGTTCTGAACATCAGGTGTAAATATTGGCATGTGTATTCCAGAAAAAAAGTGTTTGTGAATAACAGTTTTGCCTATCATGAAAGAGGAAATAATGAGAACAACAGAATTTCTGTAGCATCTGTTGAGCACCTTGCTAGGGTGAGCATCAGACTCACACAGGAGTCCTGAACACCACTGTTCTTTCCAATAGGTCAGCAATCAGTTATGCATTACCACACATGCTATGAAATCTCCTTGTCCATATTTTTTGTGTGTGACAAGCCACGGCAAGGTGATTCCCAACTTTGATCATACTTCTTGTTATTTTACCTCATATTCCTTTTCAACTTTGGGCCTTTTTGTTACGAGCCTAATTCTTTCCCCCTGGTTATAAAGTTCACGCTCTTTAAATAAATATATTTCTTCTCCTGGCTGTCACTTTTCATTTTCATCATTGCTTAAGGAAGTTGCAAAGATCTTTCCTTAAATTATCCTTCATAAATCACATGCTCATCTCTTAATCATGTGGTTGTTCTTACTAGAAGCCCATCCAGCCTGTCAGCCTTCCTGGAGATAAGGGACTACATGCCTACAAGCTGCATGCTGAGTGTGTTCACAGCAGTTCAGATGGACTTGTGGTCCTTTGCAGAAATAGTCTTGGATTAGCACTGGTCTGTTTGCTTCCTTATTTATTTCTATTTGTCTAATTCAGCCACTTCAAACTTCTTTTAGACAGATTTTATTTTATTCTCAACCTTCAGTGTTCTGGGTTTAATATGGAATCTTGTTAACTTTGGCTAGTAAGTATAATAACAGCTCTACCAGCTCTGACAGTGGCAAGAGGTGGATGCTACACAGGGCAGCAATCTAGTGATACTGAGTACTTTGTCAGTCTCCTGGGATTTTGAATACATATAAATATCTTAATATCCCATGGCAAGAAGTTCTGCAGCAGAACTGCCTGAGTGCAGTAGATCTTGCTTTGAATCTCTTAGCATCATTTAATGCTCCTTGGAAGAGACAGTTTACAATGAATCTTTACTCCCATCTTCATAATATTTATAATTTCACATAATCACATTTCTTTCCTTGCATGAGTTTTCAGCTGCCTGAGGGAGCTCTATAGTTTTGCATTTTCATTGTAGCTTTTGATTCCTCTCATCTTTCAGCAATGCTCTCTCCCTCCTGTAGGTCATTAATTGAAAGCGTTTTCTGATATTGTTGTCAGCATCACATGTTGTGGACTTCTACAGCATTTCATGTGGTTTCCCACTGGATCCTCACCAAAGAGTGATACCTACCCCTTATTTTCATTCATGGAATTATTTCTCAGGAGGTATTAGTCAAAGAGAAAGTAAATCACCTATGAAATTTGATGTGAAAGTCAAATTCAAATAAGGCAATTGAAAGAATGATATATAGGAACTGTTTACAGATAAACCTTCAGCAGAACACAACAAGTAGCCATCAGAGACCAAGAAAGTTACTGGTTTAAGAGAACATTGGAAAAAAATATTCAAACCCTCCATTTAAAAAGGATATGAAAGTGTATTTTTTTTTCCAAGACAGACACACACTGTGTGTGTCTTACTCCTACACTGAGCTGGCTGCTCCTGGAAGGAAAATGAGCATACTCCTGTTGGGCAGCATGGGAAAATATTTTTTTTCATAGTGAGATACTATGCACAAGTCAGATCAGATGCCACTGTGGCCATTTTGCAGGATACTTGAAAAGGACCACATTAATCAATGTATTCAAAAGAATATTCATAGGAGTTGAAGTGCCAGTATTGGAATAAACCCAGACTGTTCTTTAATATCCAAGAGAGGTAAGTAGAATCCTGTGTGGAAGTATATATTTAATAAATATTATGAAGTATGAAAAATATCCCAAGGCTGAAAAATACTCCGACATCTGACTTAAATTGCTGTTTCGCATAACAAATCTCTTAAGTGTAATGTGTAGATTTTAGATAAGTTATCACTATCGAATTTATTATATAACATTTCCAAACTTTAAACTGAATAGTTACAATATAAAAGTTCAGTAACAGTTTGAGTTCAGGATTATTGAAATGATTGTGTATGTTTGTCCTTAAAGTATGCTTCCTACTGATCAAACAAATTGATTAATCAGTATTTAAAAAAATAAGATCCTGACTGCTATTGTAGGGACATTAGAGTCACCTTTTAAGGGAAGTAATCAATTAAAAAAGGTAATAAAACTGCTAAAAATTGTCAGCTTTTGTTGTTAAAAGATCGCATGGTAATTATTGGATGACAATTTTTGGGACAAATAAAATTGCTCACATAAGCAAAAGGAATCCCAAGAAGAGGCTGTGCTGTGTGTGGAGTGGGGATTGTCTGTGCATCCAGCGAGCTTTGTCAGGCAGCTAAGAGGCCAATTTTGGCTAAAAACAAAACAAGGTCAATTAAATCTCTAATTGAAAAAGTATTGGTTTAGCTATCAGATTAACACATTTCAGTATCCCTGTGAAACCCTTTAGGAGTTGAACAGGGATGGAGGAATCAGGAGGAGTAATCATTTAGAGGGAAGCAAGTACCAAGAGTATTTTGCAAGGACAGAGGCTTACCTTCCTTCAGTTTTGCAAAAAGGTTCTCTGTTTAGAGATGAACATAATTTGACAAGGCCTGAGGAACATGTACTGCACTGAGTGTGAGCTCAGGAGTGAACCCACGGAGTCCCCTCAAGAAACATGATAGAAAGCATGAAGGAAAAATTAGTTTTATGCAGCTTTAGCAGGCCTGGCTTCTCCCTCTCCTGCCAGATTTTCCTGCATGTTGCAGAGTGCTGAGGTGTAGTCTGAATCCCATGGTGTAAGTATGGAATGCTGTGATTGCTCCATGCAGTTGGTGACCTTTCCTGAATGTGTGCCTGGAATGGCCGCCAAAATTACTCA